TCATGGCCACACCTTACTTCTTTTGTTTCTCTTTCTAATCTACAGTCACCAGCAACCGGCGACTATCATTGATTGGGGTTCATGGGAAACCACTGAGTACCAACTTCTTACTTTGTGCTTACCGACGGTGAAAGAAATGAGTTTTTGACGAAGAAGATGAATAGATCTACGTTAGATCTAGCTAGATCTAAATAAAAAAATAGTTGTCAGAGTATAAGTATCTCTCTATATCCGTCTTTTTCCTTCGATCTTTCAGTTTTAATACTTTTTCTGTACTACACACTTCTATTTCCCTGTTATAATAGAGAAAATTCTCAAGTTATGAACAAATTGTTTTTGAGTTTTAATTACAGTCGATGAAATTGTAAAAAATTATAGTTTCAGTTTTTTTGGTACTGAAATGATTCATTCTTTAAAACTGTAAAATTTTGCAGTTTCATAACATGTTTTTCAGATTGATTAATAAGGACAAATGCTTAATAGAATTATACTTTGAAACTGTAATAACCCTCACCACTGATCACTGATAACGCTACTGATTACTACTAAACTGAGACTGAACATGATTAGTAATTGAATCGACTGAAATACTGAACTGATCTATTGAATGTGCTAGTTTAAATGCATATCTATCTGTTGATTGTTAAATTATCTGTTTATGTTTTATGCTTTAAACTGCAAATTGAAGGCCTTACCGGCGGCCGAATCTGAAATTGATTGATGACTTATGATCATTAGAATTTATGTGATTTTATGGCATATTTAATTAAAATGTGATTTGGTATGTTTAAATTAGATAGAATTGAGCTAAATTGCAATAGTTGGCTTAATTACCAACATACCACTTAGTGGACCACTTAGGCAACACATATTTGAGCTTCATTATACATTCAACAAAACATTTCATCAGCCTCTTTCCTTGTTATTGCCGACTTGAGAGAGAGAGATAGGGAGTTAGAGTGAATTCATCTTGTATTGCTTGGAAATTGAGAAGATTGGAAGAGTTTGTGATCAATTGAGCTTCTAGACTTGTATTTGAGAACTTAGGTAAGGAGTTCATCCTTTAGTTGTGAATTTAGGTTAGTCCTTGCATGTTTCATGCTAATTTGAAGAGTTGAGCCTAGAATTGGTTTAAATTGTTGCATTAGAGCTTGAATCATGCATGCATGTTTCCATTCTTGGGTTTTGAAGCTATTGTTCATGAAATTCACATGCATGTTCATGTTTTTGCAAATGGACTATGAATTCACCATGATTTTAGAAGAATTGGCTCATTTGAGCTAGCATTTGAAGCTTTGAAGTTGTTGAATTCATGCATGTTACACATTCATCATGTTCTTGAAGTATTGTTTGAAATTGGGTTTAATTCCCTCACCTTTGGGCCTTGATTTTACAAATTGAGCTTTGAATCATGCCATACTATGTATTTACAAGTGTTTTCCAGGAAATGGGCCCAAAGGAATCGAATTTGTTACATTTGTAGTTGAATTTGAGTTTGAGGTTCAAATTTGGGAATTCCAGATTTTGAATTTACGCTCGAACAGGGTGACTGGCGCTCGAGCGTGGAAATCGTGCTCCCGGCATTTTGTTCTGTTTTGCAGTCCGCTCGAGCGGGGTAATTTACGCTCGAGCGGGACATTGTGTCTTACACTCGAGCGGATGTCGAGCGTCCAATCGAGCGTAATTTTCACACATCTAGCACTGTTGACTGTTTTGCAGTACGCTCGAGCAGGTAAGTCTACGCTCGAGCGGAAAACCTTTGTCTGTATGTCCGCTTGAGTAGAGTAACTGACGCTCGAGCGGGATCCCTGTTTTTCTGAAAACTCTGAAAATGCTTTTAAAGTGCATCTTTGCATCCTCATTTCATCCTAGGCATTCTTAGGCCTAGTTTAAGGCATCTTAATGAGGATATAGATGTAGAACCACACCGAGTCTAAGTAGGGACTAAGTCTTTGTTTCCCGAATGTGAACTTAGTGTGTGTTCATCTTGTAAACTGTGTAGGGTTGGCATCTGAGGACGCGCTCTAGCTTAACTGTAGCCCAGAATTCTGTGAGTAACAACTGTGAACAATTGAACTGTACTGTTTTCTGAAATGATACTATTACTGAATGAATGATGTCCTAATTGTGAACTGTATTGTGGCATCCTTAACAACTACTGTTACTGCTACTGTTACTGCTACTGTTACAGAGATCTCTGTCGGTTCCCATGTTGGAACAACTACTGTTTACTGATATGATGGCCATCAACTGACTGTTCGGTCTGATAAGACCTACTGTACTGTTTTGTTACTGGATGTACCACATATGACTGTAATGACTGAATAACTGACATACTGATTGAAATGATTGTTTTCAATACTGTAAGGACATTCATTCTTAACCTCTTTACGCATTATGTTATTCATTAGGTTTTAGCTCACTGCTCATATATATATATATATATATAGGTGTACAGGCGCCGGACCGTTGCTAGAAGCGTCGGGGTAAACTCCAGTTTTGTCAAGCCAACCTATGTGCCTCACTGCGAGGTTTCGAGCCTGCCAAGCTATGGCTTAGGGGTGTTTTAATTTTCCCCCGTCTGTCTTTGTATCTGTTTTGTATTATTGTATAGACTGATAACACTGTACTGTACTGTCTTAATAGGGATTAAGTCCTTGACCTGGATGATTGTAAATGTTGTACATATTGTTCTGTACTGTTCATGTATATACGTATGAAAAATCTTTTTGCATACAGACTCACAGCTCATTGGACATTGTTTATTTATCGTTTTGGCTTCCGCCATGCCCCTGTACTCTGTATTACTGTCTTACTGTTAAGCAGGCCTTCGGTAATCTCGGATTACTGGCCGGTTACGGTGCTAAACCCATAGGGACGGGTTTGGGTCGTGACAGAAACTGTAACATTTTTCAGTTTCAACACTTGTTTTTCAGTTTGATCAATATTAAAAATTATTTGCTTAAACCCTACAAAAATTGAAAATAACATATATATATTTTTCACATCGTTGCTGTTTGTTGTGCTTAGATTTTTTTCTTTTTTTCAATTTATCAATATTTAGCACATTTTATTATATTTTTTCGCTTTAATTTCTCAATTTATGCTTCTTATTTTTTTGGGCAATATTGTAGACGTTCTGACGACTTTCGGTGACGTTCAAAACATTTTGGTAATACTTCGGCGAATTTCCAGTGATATTTCGGCGACTTCCCAGTGATATTGAACATTCCAGCGAGTCTGCAATGACTGTCTGACAGAAGTCTGGTGGTCGTGTAATGCAGCAGCTTATTTACCTTTTTTTTAAAAAAAATGCTCTAGGATTTTTTGGTAACAATTAAAAATATATAAGACTAATTGGTGTAAGTGTTTTGTTTTGGAATTAAATAAATTTTAAATTTTGTGAATGTGATTTATCAGTAAGTTTCCCAATAAAATAAAATAAAGATAACTGAGACACGATTTACAAACATAAACCTTGAAACACTGTTCAAAATATAATCACAAATCAACATAATAAGAGTATCTCTAATCCTTTATAATATATTATTTCATCTTTCTAACAAAAAAAAAAAAAAAAAAAGAAAAAGAAAAAAAGAGCATCTCTAATTGTTCAGTTTTTTTCATCAAATTTAAATTTATTAAAAAAGTGTTCATAAATCATCTAAAATCTTTTCCCTCAAATGTTCATCAAATTAAAGAAAAGTTATTTTTTTTCATCAAATTGAGAACTTATCAAATCCTTTATCAAATTTGAATTTGATGAAAATTTAAAAAGATAAAACATTGGAGATGATTTCTTTCCCATCATTTTGATGAAAAGTAAAATTTGGATTGAGAAGGTAATTTTTTAAAAGATTTTGACAAAAAACGATTGGAATAGTTAATATCAAATCAAATTTTTTACTTAAATTTTGAATCAACTAAACAAAAAAATTTGATGAATAATCGAAGATGGTCTAAGGCCAGTGAAATTTATATAAAAGATAAACCTGCAAAAACACGTCAAAACACAACCACAAATTAATTTAATAAGACCAGTAAAATTTATATAAAAGAATCCGAACAACCTTGTTTTTTGTTGAACAACTTAAAAGTATTAATAATAATAAATAAATAAATAACTAAAAATTCGAAAAGAAAAATACAAATAAAGACATGCGAGCTAACTATGTATATCTTTCTAAGGCATTCCATTATTCACCTTGATTTTCTTTTCATCATCACCAATTTTTTTTCCAGTACCAGTACCAGTACCCTCTCCACACTTGTGACATTCCTCAATGGGTACATTGTTGGAGAACATTGGTTGGTTGGTTGGTTAGTTAGATTTTTTTGTTGGTTGGCATCATTTCATGTTTGGGTTTATATTAAAATTATCTCAATACTAACCTAATCCATTTATTATTTTGTAATATTACATCGTGTTATTTTCGATTCATATCCAATTCCTATTTCGTCAACATGACATGTCAAAATTTTTCGCTATGCGCGTGGGGGTTGCACGGCAATTGGAATGTGTTTTTCCTAGTATAAAATTTGTCATTGTTGTTCTAAGATGGAACGGCAATTGGAATGTGTCTTTCCTAGTATAAAATTTGTCATTGTTGTTCTAAGATGGATGAGAAAAATAATGAAAATGAAATATGCATATGCAAATAATCAAGTACGTATGGCGGAAAAAAGAGAAAACAAATTTACATAAGAAACAAAACCAATTTAAGAGAAATATAGAAACAGAAAACATAAAATTAGAATTAAGAATTAGAAATCTTTAAGTATTGCTTGGTTTAATTTTTAAATTAACTTTTGGATTGAAAAATCAAAAAACATATTTGGTTTGTTTTCAAAATTATTTTTTCTCTTTTTTTTTTTACACATCAATCAATCATTTTTTTTTCTTTCCTCTCTCATTTTTTCTCTCTCATTCTCTCACATTATATACATCAATCAATTAATCAATCAATTTTTCTGTCACACCCATTTATTCTGTAAAATAATGATGTATTATTTATTGATTGTGTATATTACAAGATTGATATATCTGATTTGTATGTTACAAGCTATTATATAGGAGAGGTGTGAGGTAAGTGAGTGGTGGTAGTGGATGGTAGTGGAGGTGGTGGGTGGTAGTGGAGATGGTAAGTGTGTTAGGTTTAGTGGGGTGGATGTAGTGGGTTAGGTTAGTGGGTTAGGTTCAGTGTACATTAACAATATAAATTATCGTAATTGATCAGATTTGTAAGTCAATATAATGCTGAATGTAATATATAAGAATATGATCATCTTAACATGATTCAAAATTATTCACCCAAAAAAAACGTGATTCAAAATTTTGACCATTAATATGAGAGACATGGAAAACTGGCTCACAAGTAGACGGCTGTCTCCGTCCTTGTTGTCGGGCCTCTGCTTCAATACTTTTGCTTCTGTATATCTGCTATGGAAATTAAAGTAAAAGTTATTTTTATTTTTATTTTATTGCTTCGAATTTAAGACTGTTTTTTGGTCAGAAAAATAATTGATAATTCAAATTTGAGTTTGTTTGAAAATCTTGATTTATACTTGTCAATTAACTCTCTAAATGACCAGTGAAACACTTGTCTATTACGATTTTCATCATCGTCAACTAAGATTGTTATGATCGGCTACACAACCGAAACTTCGATCGGCTGCGCAACCGATAAACCAAAATTAAGGCGATTTTGAACAAACTCATATTTGAGCTACCTTATAATGCGCATGTTGTTGGGTCTTCCCCAACTCCTGACTCTGCTGCAGCATGTCTTTGAATTCAATTCCTTGACCATTGGTCAAACGGTCTTCACATTTTCAGACCACTTTTTCGACTTCAATTCTGAGATAAAAAGTGTAAGAATAAGTAAACTGATCACATACACTTTTACGTGAAATGGGTCTCATCATATAAAAATGTTTCTGCTTTTTATGGTTTTCTTTTTTTCAAATCAAAGATCCACCACCATTTAAGTAAATAATTTTATTTTATAAATACCATCACATTATTTTAATAGTTGAAAGCTTTATGTGAAGGAGACACATCAAAGATGACTTTTTCGTGGAAGAGTAGAGAGAGATTTGATGGGGGATTTCTTTTTTGATGAACTGTGATGGCTGACTTTGCAGGAGGAAAGGGAAGAGCTTTTCAGTGCTTGCCTGCTATTATTAATCCAGCTTGGTTGTATATATGTACTGTGTTACGTAGTAATGCAGTGGAATCATGCAAAGCGAAGAAGAACAAACTAGAGAAAATAACAAAACAAAAAGAAAAGAAAAGAAAATTTAGGGTGGACCTGTTGACATGTCGACCTAAAGAGGAGGCAATGGGTGGCAGGTTTCCATGAGACAAAAGGTCGGGCGTGCGCTGCGCTGCGCTGCCCCATTTGAGGGGTTTTAAATTGGCGGCTCACTCCAACCTGGTTTTTGCGGGCAGCAGGGTACGGCCAACGGCGTGTACCGGCGAAATATGTGGAGCCAAGCCAATCCATGCACTCTCTCTCTCTCTCTCTCTCTCTCTCTCTCTCTCTCTTCTTCTCTTGTTTTCTTTCCTTCCCAGTCTTCTCTTGGGTTTAGTTTGGGTTTTAGAAACTAAACCCAAGTCCTTTCGTTCTCAGATAAAGATTACATTGTACTCTAAAGAATTGACATCATAATCGTCTTCATGCCCTGAAGAAGCTACCTGGTATTCACACAAGAGAACATATAGTACATATAAAAACATCTTCCTCGGATAGAGCTGGCCTAGGTGGGCGTGGCACAAGGGGCAAGCGTGTTGGAAGGCAAGTTAACTCCGCCCCCTTTCACAGACAGGTTGGGACTCCTGACTGAGTTGGCCCTGCTCACGAGATTTGAATCGAGAAACACGACAATCACTGTGATGTCATCATGGAAATGGCGACGTACCCCCCGATCTATCTTCTTCAAGTCCGAATACCTCATTTCTCTCTTCTTTGCTGCCTCTTGCAGTGCAGCTTTCACTAACCTCCGAGCACTTCCCTGCATGACAGTAGCTAAATTTTCTTCAATCACGGCACATTCAAAAGAATAAAATGATTGGCAAACTTGTTCATGGAATAAGCAACCAGTAGTTAATTTTTTACATTGACAGCAGATTCTAGAGATGAAATAATAAACAGCAACAATAATTCGAAAGTGATGTTTCCCTCCATGTTCAGTTACTAGACCCCTAAGCAAGTGCCTTACTGATTCATGATCAGATAACTATAAAACCCTAATCACACCAATCTGATTCAATAATCAAGCGAGACGACAAACTTAAAAGTGGCCAAGGAAATTATGTAAGTTAAAATCCCTCTCTATGAGAAAAAGTACCGATGTTCAGCATCTTACACTGCGAAGATGATTTTGAACTATATCAACTGCTTCCTGGTTGCTGAGGTGCTCCCATAGACCGTCTGATGCAAATATAATGAACTGATCGTGTGGCTGCAGCTGGTGTGTGGAAATTGATGGATCGGAGCTCAATATAGGCCTTCTAAAAGGTTCACGTAACCGAAACTTGGCATATAATGGCTCCCTATTGAATTCAGCCTTTTTTAAATATACATCGCCAATAGATCTCGAAACCTGTGACATAAAATAACATCAGAGGGCATAAATAGTCCAAGTTCAAGGTGCATCACCTGCTGATGGGTTGTTCATAGATGGGCAGTCGTTTGAAGTTGATGAATCAAGCACGACAGGTGGGCATATGGGGACGATGGTGACCACGGATCAGCTTCATCTTCATGAGCCACATGTTTGACTGGAGGCTCGGATGATGAATAATAACCAGGCTGTTGTGGAGGATAACCATGATGAGAGTAATGGGGTGGTGGTGGTGGCTGAGAAGATAAAGCAGAGCCGTGGTCAGTGAAAAGGGAAATAGAGCTGTCTGCAGAGCGAGAAATTAGAAAATTTGGATTTGTCCGGCGGGCGGCCAAGGCGAGATTGCCGCCCGCCGGTGGAACGAAAAATACTAGGTTCCTAACCTAGCTCTGATACCATGTTAAAATAATGATGTATTATTTATTGATTGTGTATATTACAAGATTGATATTTCTGTACATTACAATTTCTATATATAGAGGAGAAGATGGTAGTGGGTGTAGTGTAGTGGAGGTGGTAGGTGAAGTGGGGTGTGTAGTGGAGTAGTGGATGATATATTTTAACAGTAACCAATGAAAACATCATAGTAATCAGTTAGCATGCTACTTATAGATCCGTTTATAGCTTGGAATCAGTGGGGTGGATGTAGTGGGTTAGGTTAGTGGGTTAGGCTTAGTGTACATTAACATATTCAACTAATAAAAAAAAATACAAATCATCCAAAATTATTTCTAAAACTCGTAATCAAATAAGTTTTCAATTTTCAAAAAGCTTTTAAAAAATTTAAGGCAAACTTCACTTTACCCCCTTATGGTTTGGGCTGCGTGTTGTTTACCCCCCTGATATTTGGAAATCGCTACATAACCCCCCTATAGTTACTGAATTGAAGTGCACAGTTAATATTTCTATCTAACATAACAGCCCGTGTATGACATGCGCCTAATATGCAAATTGACATGAAAATATAATTTTCCCTCCGAATTAAATGACTAAAATGCCCTCTTCTTCATCATCAATTTCCAAAGTCTACCCTTATCTTCATCATCAATATCCAGATCTGGAAACCTTTACCCAGAAGAGAAAAAAAAAATTAAAAAAAAAGAAAAAAAAAAAGAAGAAGAATGAGGTAAAAAGACTATTAGATATATAAAAAAATAGAAAGAAAATACACAATCTTTTAAACTTAATTTTTATATAATTATATTTTACAGATATATACCTATACATAAATATAGGTACTATAATTTTTAGGGTAAACTACCAATAGGTCTTAATAGTTGGATTTAATTCCTATAAAGTCCTGTTGAAAATAAGTCTTGGTAAAGTTGTCGCTAAAAATAATTTTTTTATGACAATTTTTTATATATGTCGCTAAAAATTAACAATTAGTGATTTTTTTGGTCATAATTTTTATAAATTGTCGCTAAAACTTACAATTAGTGACTTTTTTATGGTAATTTTTTTTCCATAGGACCTATTAGATAATAAGTCCACTTATTAGGACTTACACGTAAGTACCCCTAATTTTTATACATATATATAGTTATATATATATCTCTCTACTAATTGTCCAGTCACTAAGGACATGGGCGATCGTTGAAGCTTGTCAAGCTCCAACCGTATGGTCTTGTGAAAGTAGAGAAAAATTAGAATTGGAGATTTCATAACCGAATCGTCCAAATATGCTTTAGATGATAGCGAATCGACCGGATTCACCACCACTCCTTCTCCTTCTCCTTCTCCTTCTCCTTCTCCATCGTTTCGGCCCGACAATGGCATCTCCATTTTTCTTTCTGCAAATTCACAAACCCAACCTCCTCTTTACGCTATGTTTGGTAACTTAGGAGAGGAGAGAAAAGAAAAGAAATGATTACTTAAGTAATAAGAGAAAAGAAAAGAAAAGAAAAGAAATGATTGTAATTTCTCTCCTTTTTGTTTGGATAAGTAAGAAATAAAAGAAAAGAAATGATTGTGATTTCTCTCCTTCTTGTTTGGTTAGATTTCATTAAGAGAAAAGAAAAGAAAAGAAATTATTTTATGTTATATTACCAAAATAACCTTTTTATATTTTCAATCATTTTATTTCTTTTATTTTTATAGGGGTAAAATTGGTATTATGAAAATATAAACATTTGTGGATTTCTTTTCTCTCCCAATCTCTCCACTTTTGGGAAGATTGAAAATAAGGGTTATGAGAGAAATGAGTTTCTCTCCATTTCTCTCTATTTCTTCTCATTTCTCTCCACTTAAGATAACCAAACAAGGAAGAGAAATACATTTCTCTCTATTTCTTTTCTTTTCTCTCCAAATCACTCAATCCAAACACAGTGTTAGCTCCACAAAATTACCTCTACCCCTCTCTCTCTACAGAAAATTCTATTTTCTTTCTCTAAAACTCTGGTTAATCTTTCTCGCTGTGTAAATTTCTCTCTAGAACTCTGGTATTCATACCTTTCAACATGAGCCCTCTCTCTCTCTCTCTACAGTTGCTCTCTCTATATTTTGGTTCGGCAGAGAGAGAAAGAGAAGCTTCTGATGGACATATACATAGATATAGATAGAGATATACATATAGATACATACAAGCTAGTCTATGTGTAGGTGTTGACAAATCCATATATTATATAATGCTCAGATTTTAACCAAGAAAAAATAAAATAATTGATTTGAACTTTAAACTTGAAGGCATATTAAATTTTAATTAAATTAATTTTTGATGAAAATTATGTTGTTTAAATTAATTTGTTAAATCAAAACCCTAATTTCACATGTTAAAACCCTAAGTTCTCTCCACACAACTCTTACTCTTCTCAAATGCACAGTTGTTGAATGAAAAATGGTAAACAATGGTTATATATAAGGGCAAAATAGTATTTTTACGTATGTCTTTAACGTTGTTAACTATGCATTTCAATCCAGTAACCACAGGGGGTTATGTGGCGATTTCCAAATGTCAAGGGGGTAAATCACACGTGACTCAAACCAAAAGGGGGTAAAGTGAAGTATGCCTAAAAAATTTATATTCAAAATACAACTCAAAACTCAAAGTTGTTTTAAAAAACTAAACTGAACAGAGCCAAAGTTTATTGCTTGGAAAATCCATTGCTTCTCGGTGTGGATTGTGCAATTATTTAGGCTTGATTTGAGAACATGTTATTTTAGTAACTTTTTGACTTTTTACGAAAAGATGTGTAAAAAAGAAGAGAGTGATGCGATAACTTATAATGTCTTTTTAATTTTTTGACTAAAATAATTACTTCCCAAACAAGACCTTAATATATTATTTAGACGTCACCAAAATTATAAATGACAGGACCCGCTCCTCGTACCCAAGGGTTAAGTATCGTGATGGCCAGTAACTGAAATTACCTACGGCCAATTCATAAACAAATTAATAAACGCAAGCGGAAGAAACATTTGAGTAAGGGTACCAAAATAATCATTGGAGCTTCTATTTTTATTACAAAATATATTGACCAAAAAGGCCGATATTTACATATAAAAATATCATAAAAGTGTTGTGTGTGTCTATTCCGCAGCCCCGCGTCTAAGACTTTCCAGAAGTTATTTTTGAATTGCATGTTTCCTGAAAATTGGTAAAAAACTATAAGCACATAGCAGAGTGAGAAATATTATACCAAGAGTATAAGGGACACGAAATAATCATGGATAGTTATTTAGGCCAAAACATTTACAGATAATTTAGTCGGAACAAATAATCCTTTAAGTAGCAAAACAGAGATTATTTTCATAAATCATTTAAATGACAGAAACTGAAATACAGAAACTATGTAAATATATCACCATAATCACGGTACTGAACAGAACAAAACAGAGCAAAGGTCACAGAAGTGACAGTCAGAACAGAGG